CCCCCCCCCCCCCCCCCCCCCCCCGTTGGTCATTTCCAACATACATAATTCTAGTGGAACATTTATTTTACAGTTATTAGTATCACACACTTGAGCCTTGACTTTGTGGCTTCAAACTTTATTAGTATGATCAAAGACTCAAGTCAGAAGGCATAAACAACTCTCTAACAGTCTGCATGAATTCTGGATTAAGGTGGAGTTTGGCTTTAAACAGCCAACCCCTTTGCACACACTCTTTGATCTTTTTTTTTTTTTTTTTTTAAAGAAGCGTGGGTAGCGCCGGTAGAGTACAGAGCCTGGTAACTGTGGAGAGAAGTCACACCAATCAGAGCTTCACACGTGATAAGACTTTGTGTTGTCTTGAAGAAAAATAGCAAACTTGGTCCGGCTGTATGAATCTGCCTCAACACGAACAACCATGTTACTAAAAAATGTAACATTTAATATAGAATAAGAACATCATGAGATGATGATCTTACGCATGAGGGAAACGTACGTTTAACATGGAGTTGCTCTTGTTGATGATCATTACCAAACTCTGCAGTTCCCCTCAGCTCTACACATATTGTTTTAGCGCCTTTCAGCGCTTTGTTTTGGATTCGTGGCCCATAACTTCACTCTCATCAATCCCGTTCTTCTTTAGTTTCCCCTCGGCTTCTTCCTCCCACCCTTCAGCTCTATCACTCCCTCCCTCCTCTCCAGAGCGGCTCACTCTGCCGACACCCCCAGACGTCAACGGACTCCCTCCAACCAGTCAGAAGAACACTCCATTGGGTTTCCCATACAGGACCATATTACTCGGTCCCGGGCGAAAACTAGAATGCGTTCTGCACAATTAAACACGACGCCCATTCGACAACCTCAGCTCCGGCTGCAGCCATACGCAGCCAAAAAGCCAGTCACAGTGCCATCACCCCCCCCTGAGAGGTCTTCCACTCTTTGTCACAATATAACAGCAGCCCAGAGGCGGTGGGTTTAAAAATAACGGGTTGAGCGTGGCTGTTTTTTTTCTCCTTAGGTCCTAATAAATAGCCCAAGGCACTCTGTGTCTTAGCCAAAGACTTTTTAAAGTGGCTTCTAAAGACAAGGACGGATGCTTCTTCGATGAATAAGGAATTGCATTAAGCTGTAGGACATGCTTATTACTGATGCTCCTTTGTGTTTCTGTCAGTGTGAGACGACACGGAAAGCTAATGTTGCAGTTTTGTGGCATTTAGTATTCAGCATGAAAGATCTCAACAGGACATTGATGGTCGTGCCTGCTTATTGTTTGCGTTTGTCATTGTCGGCTCGGCAACAGAGGACGGGCTTAAACACAGCAGACGGATCCGTTTGTGCATAAATTATCCCTTGTTGTTAGTATCAGTAACGAGCCAGTCATTCCCTCGCTTAGTGTTAAACACTGAGAAACTGCAAGTGGCCCATCGGGCTTCTCAGCTAATTAAGTACTCCGACTCCAAACACACACACACACACACACACACACACACACATGCACAATAATCAGTCTGATGTCTACCTGCCTGCTGTCGAGGCAACACTGATGGCCTTTAAAGGCGATCCAGGAGAACTTCAAAGACGTAGCGAGAGACCGCATCATGCCGGGGTGTGTCCGTGTGAAGACGGGTGATGAAACTAAACAAGTTGAGCTGCTCAACATGCCCTCCAGACTCTGCGTGGTGTGTGTGTGCACTGTGTTACGATGAGCGTTGATCCACAAACTCTCCTGTTAAAAGGATATATTGAGGAATCTGTCGGTAGTTTCGATTAAGGTCGTTTATATATATATATATATATATATATATATATATACACACTCTCTTTCCATGGTGTACACCCACTCTTTCTCTCCAGAACAAACAGAAGAAACGCCACGCTGTCCTGCCATGCAAATAAGCATCGCTGTGTCAATTTGAGTTCCAGGTTCTGGGTTACTATAGCAACAACAACAGGAAAGCATCACAAAGCTGTGCAGAGAACAAGTTTCTCTCTTCTTCTTTCATCCCGACGTGCCTCAGATCATTACAGGGCATTAGCATAGAGATGGAGAGATGGTGCACCACAGAGGAGGGGTGGGGGGTGCTCATCTGGGGAACAGCTTGCCTGCATTTGCAACAGTGACCTCCAAATCCAAAAATTTAAAAAACATCGGAAAAATCACCTGAATGTTTATGGTAGAGAGGCATAACGGCTGGTTTATTACTCCATTACTGTGTTTCTCTCCTCTTATGAAGAGGCTGTCACCGTCTCCCACTGTATTCCAGTCCTACTTCCTGCAGCGTGCCACCCGAACTGTGCTTCATCAGAACCGCGTGCTGCAGGGTGGCAGCGACTCTTTCACTGCGTCTCAGCGGCGACTTCTGCTCAGTTTGATCGTTTACAGTTTGGAGCGGCAGAGGCAAGCGTCTGCTTTAGGCAGCCGGAGAAGGGGAAAAACGTGCTGGCCTTCGTGAGAGGCTACGCGCTGGCTGTCCATTCCTGTGCACACGCCCACTCTGTCATGGATGGGATGTGTCACGGTGTGTCGAATTTACACCAACTCTTCCCTTCAGTCATAAACCTGCTCGTCCCTAATTAAAAACCCTGCTGTTCTACTATTGTTTAAATGTTTGTTGTAAGGTGCCAAGCGACTGTTTTAGTAACGAGCTCTTGAGACATGAAAACGTTTCTTTTGGTAGGTTGTTAATTAAGTGTGTGTTGGTCCGGGTGTCGTTGTTTCTTTCTTGGTGTTTGTGCATGCCTGCCCACATGTTTGCATGAGATAGTGTCCCCTCTGCTCTTAAAGGTGCAGGATGCATCCGCTATGGTCTTTCATGTTATTTTGTGTGTGTGCACATGCAAACCCTACATCTGTGTGTCTTTGAAGTGGTCTTATCTTTCCCAGCATTCCTCTCCCATGACAGGAGGGATGGAGGGAAGCAGGGGTGGTGGTGGTGGGCCGGTGAGGGACCAGAGGTAGCCGAGCGGACCCAGTTAGTGCTGAGGTACAGGAGCAGGTGGAGGTATGGATCCTGAATATTGGAAAAGCTTCACCGGGGCTCAATATTTACTCCCATGGCAACGGCATTGAAAGGGGAGGATGGAGACGGGTTAAGCGCCGGCTCGATACTACAGACCTGACAGAAAGGGAAGGACTGTAAAAAAGCTCTTTAACTGGGACCTATTAGCCGAGGTTGGTAGAGTTTAAGGACGGTTACATCCTCAGATACTCTTGCTGAGAGTACAGTTAAAGGTGCTACATTTAAAATTCAGAGCGTTGATTTTGCTGCAAACAACGGGCGGGTCCAACAAGCCCAGAGCTTTCAGGCAGTGTACCGCTGTTCGTTCCCCATGTGAATGGAGTCAACGTTGATTTATTTGTGATGTAACTTGCGTACCTCCTAACCTTACTAGGTAGTTTTGTTGCCTAAACCTAACTAAGTTCCTTCCTCTGAAGACAAGATTCATTTCAAAGACTGTATGCATGTAACGGGAGGAAATCGACACTTGTTGCCGGCTTTTGTAGGAAAACACACGAAAAAACGAGTGACTTTTAGTAGGACATCATAGGATTCGTTGTCTGGGGATATGTTCTGTGTTTACATAGCCAGGCCAGTTGTGGGGGCATTTTAGTGCAAGTGAGTCCCCCTGTTTTGCCCCCCCCCCACATGGCTAATCACCAATGCTCCAAATCCTGCACACTGCCCCTTTAATAGAGGTGTAGGGCTAAGCTCACCATCTGCTATCACTGCAGTAATATCTAATGGAACATGTCTTCTCCGGTCTTTGTCAATATTAAATTAAATGGACAGATAATAAGTTAATAGCGACCCTGACATTTAGTTATTCAGCTATAATTTCTCATATCTGTTCTCGCGTCACTTAATGTGTTCGCCTGATTGACTTTGTGACATTTCCATATCATGATGTAATGACATTAAATCGCCTCGCCACGCCTACCTGATTGTCACACATGACCCGATTTGACATTTTTTTTCATTAAACGAGCTCACTTACAAACACGCACTGACAGTATTATTACAGTAGATTCATGCAGGGAAACAACTCAATCTGGAGAGAGCGTCTTCAGGGCTTTCATTGTCTCATTAAAAAAAGCTTCCAACTTCATTTCCCATTGTATAATGTTTGGGATATGTAAATACAGTATGTTTACTTCAGGGACTCGTGCCGAGTTGATTTAGCATTATTATGCTGCAGTCTGCATAATTAATGAAGCCAAATAGCATCTAAATGCACAGCGAAGGGAAGAAAACCCTGGTCACAAACCATGAGTAAGATCTCTTCCCCCTCTAGTAAAAAAATGGGTAGTTTTAGAAACATAGACCGACATGTATTATGTCTTTTTAGTTCACCCACATGTTTATCCACCCACATACTGGTACTGTCAGCCTGGGCTGCACCACATCCCTCTTCATCCCTCTGTCTCTTTAGGGTGTGTAGTTGGCTTTGACACACTACCCAACGAGAGGGAAATGAGCGTCATAGACCACTGTCTGTAGAGATGAATTGAAACGTCAGTCCGCACGACGCTAAGCCCCTTTCCCCTTCAGTAACGTCCAGTGATCTGCGATGCACGATACTCAACCTTTCTTTGAAATGAAGCTGTGTAGAGCTGTACACAACGTATAGTTACTTGATTGATCATTTAGTCCAAATATGTCTCAAAGTAGTAAAAAAATAAAAGTCCACCTCAGTGACCCAGAGTTCAAGGCGATGTCGTCTTTTGCCTGACCAATAGTTAAGAAAAATATGAATTTCACTGTCGCAGAAGACCAGAAAATATTCATATGCGTAACCAGGACAGAGGTGTTTATTATCAAAATAGTTATCAAAAAACAGATGCCTGCTGTGCCCTGATGCCACTGTGGGAGACGGATAATAAAAGAGACGCCTCTTTCTTTCTACCTAAGTGGCCATTTTGTTTCCCATCTTGATATGAAGATCCTGTCTATAAACAGGCCACGTTTGTAGGCAGTTTCGCAGCCATCAAGCTCAATAACTCTGTTTTCTATTCTCTCTCTCTCCGTCTTTAATATTTTCTCGCCCTTGTGCGGTCTCTCTTTTGTGTTCACGTATTTGTCGTCTGTCTCTTATTCTGCGCCTGTGTTTCTTTTCTTTTCTTCCTCCCCTTTTCTCTTTCTCTCGGGATGAAAACCAAGCCTATTTTATTTTTTTCTTCAGAGGGCGCTGAATATTTCAGTTTTGCATTTTCTCTCTTTTTATGTACTCCCTCTTTTTTTTTCCAGGCCCCTTTGATCTGTCTGTGGATTCGTTATCATTCCGTTTGGATGAGCTCACAGAAGCAGATGCACGGGACTCTCGCACGCACTTGCGCACACACACACACACACACACACACACACCACGTGTACACACACACTCTCGCTCTCCGTCTTTTTATACTAGAGACCAGAGGCATCCATCCGCATGCGAGCGTGCATTCTAGTCTGTTTGTCAGTCTTTTCCATGCGCCGCTCCGCCCACATCACAGCCTGTACAATTCTTAAATACTCCACTTGCTTGAAAAGAATATTTGCATAGGCAATTAGAATCGCCTCCATGTGCATTGACTTTAATGTGTACTCTTTGTATGAACTCTACGTGTATGTTTATATACAGTAGGTTCCTTGTCTCTCTACAGGCGGCACGTGGCATTGTGTGGTTAGGGCAGTCCGGAAAAAATGGCTGCACCCCTCCTGTCTGCCAGGCGGCTGGATGGCGGAAGCTCTTTCACCCTTTCTAGCACAAACACTCCTCTCTCTCGCTCTCGCTCTCTCTCTCTCTCTCTCTCCTCGCCTCCTTCTCGTCCTCCCCTTTAAACAGCCGTTTAGGATTGAGGGATGAGAGGACTTCCTCTTTAGAGAAGGCACATCTTTAATTTGAGCCTCCTCTCCTTCCACTTTTCTGACCAGAGATCCATTTAAAGCCGACGGGCCGCCCTGGCGCTGGCACCCCTCTCCTTCCTTTACCCTCTCCGTTTCTCCCTGCCTGACTCCTCTCATCTCACCGTCAGTGCTCTGTTATTGATGGTGACACACTGTCTACCTCTCCAGTGACCACACCCACACAGGGGGAACACACACACACACACACACACAGTTATTCTCGGAGGGATCACTGAAGGTGCCATGTGTTCACCTGCTCTCTTCAGCTTTAGAGAATAATATGTTTCAATGTGTCACACACTGGAAGTTCTTTTTTTCGGTGTATCCTCAGAGGTGTAGGCGCCGCTCCAACTTAGTCATAGTGCATTCCTTGAGTAGAGTTGTCAGTCACACACAGAGTTTGTGACTGTGGCTCACGAACAAAGGCACACACAGGCATGCATGCGCACACACGAGCTCCGTCGTCGCTGAAGCGAGACACACACACACACAATTCATTTTTGCTCTGCTCTTGGAAGTTTTAAAAAACTTGCTATTTCTGTGGCATCCTCTTTTCCATCTTCCTCTCTTTCTGTCTTTTTCCATCTTAGCCTCCTCAAATCCTTTTGTGTCTGTCTGAGCCCGGAAGGCAGCCATGCAACAAGACTGATTAATAATTACAGAGTACACAAAATTGGGAGAGAGAGAGAGGAAAAAACAAAACTATTTCTTTGTCGTTTGATGTCCGACATGAGAGAGACCAAAATTACAAAGAGACAGAACACTATAAAGAGGAGAGAAAGCTTGCACATTCCTTTTTCAATCCTCTGCTTCTGTTCTTTTTCCTCATTTTGCTGTATGTCTCCTCTGACTTTCTCTGTTTCCTTTTTTTTGTTGTTTTTTGTATGTTATATCTTCATAAAGTTGTTGCTTTGATTATAGGGAGTGATTAATCACTGAATGCAGACTTTGTGAATGTGTGTATGTTCCGGCAGAGACTGTCGTGATGTCTGTAGACGTAGGTTGTTTTTGTAAGCTGCACGTGTGTTCTCAGTGCTACCTGCTCAGCTTTCATCACCGTGTTAATGAACACACACTTGTCAGTCCTGCATTGTGAAAAGATAAATGTGTGGAGAGAGAGTGTCCTCCACCACCACCCGCCGTGTGACTGTTGTCATTTTGCCGTAGCTGCTCTTCTAATTGGTTTAAAGTCTCACCCACCGGCCAAAAAATTCATTCCGCTTGTCTGTCTATGGGGAATAATTAAACATACAATGAGTGTTAATTTACAAGGGAGCAAGAGACAAGCGCACCAAGCCACACACACACACACCACATCCTGCCATATTCTCTCCCCAACATTGTCATGTTTGGGCACTAATCACAAGAACGCTCTCAGAAGATTTCACTAACTGTTGCAGTGAACTAAAATAAAGCTGCACAGCAGTTATGCGTCTGCAGCCAAGAAAAATGTCTTCACTGTGCGCTGAAGAGTCAATGAGGTTCACCCGTTGCATTATTACCATACACCCCACATCAATAGCAGGGACGGTGGGCTGAAAGTTCATCTTATTCTCTGGGATTCTGCAGCTGAGAGCAGAATAAAATGACCCGTTGTTGTTTGGACTTGATCTAAAAACATGAAGTTATCCTCAATGTTGCTCCCAGCGCGGCATTTCTTATATTCTTTAATCATTTATCACGAGACGTTCATTGAATCTGATTTGATTACGGTTGATTGGTGTTTGGCGACATGTTCTCTTACAGAGCGGTCCTGTAATGGATTTAGGAGTCTGCCAGCTTCTTCTTTCTCACACTCCATATCCAATATTAATCATCATGTGACGATAAAACGTGTCAGATGTGAGCGCGTGTTGACATGATTCAAAACTAAATCATGTGTGTCATTACTTAGGACAACAGAGTTTCCTCATCAACTGTGAAGAGCAGGCCAGACATTGATTTGTAGCTTTTAGTCAGATAAAAGTGATAAAATGAGGCACTTGGACCTCAAATGTTTTTGTACGTCTGCTGTTTATGACGTAAATCTCTTTCGGTGAACGTAGGTTTAGGACATACGTCTGTGATCTCTGTCTGACATTTCAACATGTGAAATCACATTCCTTTAAATTTACAAAAACAACACCCTCATACACTCGCTTCACTTCTAGCTTTGTCATTCTTTCTACCCTTTTTTTCCACCACCACCGACACACACTCCTGTCCCCACACCCTTCGTGTGTTCAGGCTTGACAGCTGCTTGGTACTACTGTATATGATGTCGTGGCTGGGCCTCCTGGCTGGGCACTGACAGCTCTCAGTATGAGGCTTGTCAATCCATTCAGCCCGCAACGCTACGAGCTGACATTTGCCGGCAAAAGCAGCAGCAGCAGCAGCAGCAGCGTACCCGCAGGGAGGACACGAGGTGTTTGACTCTCCACTCTGTTCTTTCCAATGAAGTAATGACGAAAATAACTAGAGACCATCTTATGATGGGATCCCACCAGCCACAACGTCAAAACGAGCATATTTTCATCTCAATTTTGATGTTAACCACACACTTGTACGTTTTTGCGGTAAACATCTGGCAGAGTACTCAAATCTCTTCAGTTGTAGTTACTGCTAGAGTAGGTGTCACCAGGACCACACACACACACACACACACACACACACAGAGACCTACAAGGTGAAGCGATACCAGCTACACGCTGTAATAATAAACGGTCACATGAAATCAGATTTAACTATTCGATCAGACGTTTCTACATCCATCTCTCTATTTTCTCTCTTTCTTTACTTCCCTCTCGAAAGCATTTTGAAACTACTGTTTTGAAAAGTTCTTGACAAAGCATTTCTGGATCTTTTTCATGTATATATGTGTATATGTGTATATGT